GCGACAGTACCACCAACAACTCGCCGCCAGCAATGGCACCACCCTTCCCGGCAACAACGCCGTTCCCCGCGGCCCCGCGAACGACGTCCAGACCACCGATATCGGAATGACGGAGGAGAACAGGCGCGTCTTGGAGTGGATAGCCCAGCTCATGAAGCCTGCCACGCGTGAGGCTGCTCTTCTGGAATTGAGCAAGAAGCGAGAGCAAGTTCCTGAGTTGGCTCTGATCCTCTGGCACTCTTTCGGTACGCGTATTGTGTTGTCGAAAATGCGACGGGATACTAACGACTCCAGGTGTTATGGCCTCGCTCCTCCAAGAGATCATCTCCGTCTACCCTCTGCTCAACCCGTCGCAATTGACCGCTGCCGCTTCTAACCGTGTGTGCAACGCTCTTGCGCTTCTCCAGTGTGTCGCTTCGCATACCGAAACTCGCGGCCTATTCTTGAGCGGTAAGTCAGACATCCCACCGAGGAGACGTAGCTAACGCACTCACAGCGCACATCCCGCTCTTCCTTTACCCGTTCCTCAACACAACGTCCAAGTCGCGGCCTTTCGAATACCTGCGTCTTACATCTCTCGGTGTCATTGGCGCTCTGGTGAAGAACGACTCTAGTGAGGTTATTAACTTCCTCTTGACAACTGAGATCATCCCGCTTTGCCTGCGTATTATGGAGACTGGCTCGGAGCTCAGCAAGACAGTGGCCATCTTCATCGTTCAGAAGATCCTGCTAGACGACATCGGTCTCGCCTACATCTGTCAGACCTACGAGCGCTTTTATGCTGTCGGCACCGTACTCAGCAACATGGTCAACCAACTTGTGGAGCAGCAAACCGTTCGCCTGCTCAAGCACGTTGTTAGGTGTTTCCTTCGGTATGCATACTCCATGTCCGTCTTTTGCACTTGTAACTAACTTTGCCAGCTTGAGCGATAACGCTCGCGCTCGCGAGGCGCTTCGCCAGTGCTTACCAGAGCCTCTCCGCGACGCCACCTTCTCCTCTGTTCTTCGAGACGACGCAGCCACTAAGCGCTGTCTTGCTCAACTCTTGATCAACCTCTCCGACAACGTCGTCGATGCCGCCAACAACCAGCAGCTCATGCACTAGGAGACATGCAATGGGGAGCACAAAACACCTCCTCTGCACATCTGGCACATCTGGCACAGGTACCTTCGATGATCTTGAATACCTCTCCTTCGCCTTTTGTATATTTCTAGCTTCGGCTTTTGCTTCATTTGGCGCGGCAGTACGCGTAGACGACATACCCCTCAGTTGCGATCGGATTGGGCTTACGAAAATGGTGCGGCGGATACGGCGTTAGGGTTTCTCACACGGGATACCCCGTAGCAAAACTGTGCTTGGGCAGATGCTACTTCCTTTAACTTGTGTTTATCGACTTTGTTCTTCTTACTCTCATGGTTATGGCGAGGAGTTTTCGGGCATTGCATGGCGTAGTGCACTCATCAATGCACGGATTCTAGGAGGAAAAGTCAAGTGTATAGTATCATTTTCATTTCTTCCATGCATGCGAGCAATGCAGAAGCATGTTTCATCGACATTCGTGCAAGTTAGTCGTGATGTATTCTTTGTAATTGGCAAAAGTGACATGAAGGTATTCGATGCAACCCGTCTGGGGTATGCGTAGAATGACATGTGACGTATCCCTTTAAGATACAATTTGACGGCGACATCCATTGCAAAGAACGTGAGCAAAGGCGAGATGTTATTTTCCATGTCAACCTTGGAAAGTGACTGCCATCAGTCGGGCCAAAGCGGACTAGCGCGGACTTCGCTAGCGGCGAAACGGCCACAGTCAAGCGACAAATCCGCCGCCACTTTTCTCTCTTCTTCAACCACCACCGCTACAGAGCCACCAAAGGAAACGATATCCTCTGGGAGACACATCAGCCAACATGTCGAAAATCTCTGTCGCCGGCGTTCGTACGAACGTTCAACAGCTCCTTGAGTACTCCAACGAGACCAAGAAGAGGAACTTCCTCGAGACCGTCGAGCTCCAGATCGGCCTCAAGAACTACGACCCCCAGCGTGACAAGCGTTTCTCCGGAACCATCAAGCTCCCCACCCTTCCTCGTCCTCGTAAGTCGATACCGGTGCGCAGAGGAGAGAGCGCATGCTAATAAGTTCCAGGCATGAGCATCTGCGTTCTCGGTGACCAGCACGACATTGACCGTGCCAAGCACCATGGTGTCGATGCCATGAGCACTGATGTAAGCATCCTCTGGTTTCCTTCGCCTAGACATGTCTAACAATTCCACAGGACTTGAAGAAGCTCAACAAGAACAAGAAGCTCATCAAGAAGCTCGCGAAGAAGTACGACGCCTTCGTTGCCTCCGACGCCCTCATCAAGCAGATTCCCCGTCTCCTCGGACCCGGTCTCTCCAAGGCCGGAAAGTTCCCCACACCCGTCTCGCACGCTGAGGACCTCGCCAACAAGATGAACGAAGTCAAGTCCACCATCAAGTTCCAGTTGAAGAAGGTTCTGTGCATGGGTGTCGCTATCGGCAACGTTGGCATGACTGAGGATGAGCTGATCGGTAACATCATGTTGGCCATCAACTACCTCGTCTCGCTTCTTAAGAAGGGATGGCAGAACGTGGGCTCCTTGACCATCAAGGCCACCATGAGCCCCCCCAAGCGTCTCTACTAGAGAGTTGGTCGCGACGTCTGCTGGGTTATGTCGTGGCGAGCTGTTGAAAGACGGCTTGTCATGAATCACGATCTTACGGAATCTCGATGGAACGAACAATGGGTCTAGCTAGCTTGAATGCATGCATGAACCCATAAATATTGTCTTTGCCGTGAAACCATACTATGATTGAGCCTTGCCCTGTACGCTGAAGTGCGCATGCGATGAACCTGCATGGCGTCACTGAAGTCTCGACCTTCACTTTGAACACAAGCTATCCCGTTGCAGCCTGATATCCGCGCTCCCATCTCGAATTTTCACATCGCACGGCCACCGCCCACTCTACCAACCTCTCCCGCCTTGCGCCCCACCACCGAACTTTTCCCATCCAAACCTGCAATCCTCTGTGCGCAGCGCTGACTAATCCCCACTCTAGCTCCTTGGCACCGCCTACAAAACCACGCACGCCTCCGTCCCTCGTTCTGCTTCTCCATCATCAGTTAGGAAATCTACATCCTATGTATATTATCGTGGCTCCACGCAAGTGGCATGCTGAGAGTTGTCCCTCCTTTCTCTGTGGACAGTTCTCCGTTCCCGGCCCCGTAGATCGATACCGCCCGTCATCCTTACCAATTGCAATTATCCGTGAAAAGATGGATTGGAGTTGTGGGACGGTGTGGGACACCTTTTCTTTGTGATTGTGCAGTTTGTGATTCAGTGCTGGCTTTGGCGCTTAACTCATCGGAGTCTGGTCGCTGATATAATGCTGTCTTGACTATCGTGCAGACATGGTGTTGCGATGCTGCGCAGAGCTTTTCGAAGTTTTTGTGGGGCAACTCAGCTCAACGCGATGCGACTTGACAGATGCTATGCTTCAAACACACGCGACATCAGAGTGCACCAAAGCTATCATCGGCGATGCCTTACTACGTGTAGGGTATATCAGGGTTGAACTTGGCTGTGCATATCGCCCTGCCCGCGTTCGATGGCCCAGGATCGGCCCTGTAGCTGGCTGCACCTCACGTTCTCTGCTCAGACCCCATGGCCGCGTCTGGATATGCAATGAGATGAGATTATATGTTCTGCCACATTATGTATCTATGCACCGTCTACACAAGTCCACCTCATCGCCGTTGTGTGTCCCTCCACTTGTCGAACGCCACCTCAGCAGACTCGCTCGTCATGCCACACCGTTCACCCAGCATACTCCATGTCCTCATCCTTATGATCTTCTCCACTGCCCTCTCATTGCGCATGAGCATAGCCAAGCTCTCCGTCCTCGCCTCCTGTGGGAAGTAGCGCCCCGAGTATGGATCTAACCGCTCATCTACAGTCCTCTCTCTCGCTTTGGCGTCTTCGATCTGCCGTAGTACACTATCCGGATCGTCTGGGTCTGGCGATGTCGCGACACCCGCGCAGTAGTCTAGGACATCTGATCGCACTGCCCAGCTGGGGAACAGCACCTTCTCTTTGAACCCCTCACACTGTTCTGGCTGTAGCGATCGACCATGATCAGGTGGCGGCAGCTGTCGCGTGCTTGTAGAAGTAGGATCGAAGCCTCGTTGTGCGGGTGTGAGGAGGGCGTTGAGGTTCTGTGCTATGGAGTCGTCGATTGCGCCGCGTGATATGCGGAGGAAGTCTGTTTCAGCCGACTTGCGCATTAGTTAGTGAGCTGACTAGCAAGTCTATGAGAGTGCTGACCTCGCAGTGCGGTTTGGTTGAAGCAGAATTGTGGCGTGAGGCGAGGTGCCGCAGATGGTTTCGACATTTTCGGCGGCGAGGAGGGCTGAGAGGGGGTGGTAGAGGTAGACGGCTCCGAACGTTTCCAGAAGTAGTTCGCCAGCTTGAAGTCAGTTAATATTAGTAAACGCGGTGTTTTGTAGAGCTGTAAAGTTGCAGATGTCAATGCTGGAGATGCCGCCTAGTCCATGGCGTGTAATGATGTCAGCACCCCATCCAAGGGAAAATAGGACAGCTACCTCTGCAAAGGACAACTATAGACAGAAAAGCTAAGAGAACTACATTGCCTTTGCATCTCACAGCAGTGCATTTCAAACACTAATGTAGGCTGCAAGGCACTTGTTCAGTTTTCTCGTGAACGCGACATCAGCAAGGGTCTGCTCGCTCGAGGTTCGCGTTTGGCAAGCGCGTAGGAGGCGCGCTTTGATACCCGTGGACGCGCCTGCCGCCTGGAACACCATGCCCTTCCGCTTCGCTGCCTGTTGCACTTCAACAACTCGACTCCATTTAAAGGCAGCGCCCTCAATCCGATTGTTGCAGTCGTCTTCCATTTTTCTACGCCGCAATTGCCCTCAGCAGCCTGGTGGCGCACACGACACTCGCACTTTCGTAGCCATGGCTCCGAAGCAGGCCACTCTCGGGTATGTAAAGTCTTCTCAGACTACGTTAGGGTGCGGCGACGGCATTGGACTTTTCCTACACGCCAATTGTACAATGCTTACGGTGTCTGCAGAAAGTTCTTCGGGAAACCCAACGGCGACGCAGCGAAGCAACAGTCCAAACTCTCCTTCTCCACGAGGCCGAAGCCTGCAAAGAAAGACGTAGAGGCCAAAGAGGAACCTAAGTCATCGCCAGAAGAGGTGAAGAAAGAAGAGAATGACGATGTCGATTCAGACGCAGACGTCAGGGCACCTGCCAAGGAGAAGGTAGAGACGGATGACGACGCGATGGAAGTCGACAGTACAACCTCCGAAACTGGAAAGAAGAGGCAAATAAAAGAAGAGGAAGAGGAGGAGTCCGAAGAAGAACCCCCAACAAAACGACAACGGAGAAAGCCAGCGCAGGAGAAGGAAAAGCCAAAGAAGGCAGCTGCGAAGCCAAAGGCAGACAAAGCACCAGCAAAGTCGAAGAAGGCGGCTGCTAAACCGAAAGCTGCAACACCAGAGGACGACGACGAGGAAGTGTCAGCACCGGCGAAGGTCGCGAAGGGCAAGAAGAAAGAGGCGAAATCGTCACCTGTACCCGAGGATGATGCCGACTCAAACAAGGAAGAAGAAGAGATTGTGAGCTCCGAGGAGGAGCCAGAAGAGGTCAAGACCAAGGCGAGGAAGAAGGTTCAGACAACGCTTTCGTCCAACACCAAGGACCCATATCCTGACTGGAAACCGGGTGAGCCAGTGCCATACGCCGCACTCTGCACAACGTTTTCAAAGATCGAAATGACGACGAAGCGCCTGGAGATTCTCGCCCACTGCTCGCTCTTCCTCCGCCAAGTCTTGCGACTGACACCATCTGACATGCTCCCAACCGTCATGCTCATGGTGAACAAGCTCGCAGCTGACTACGCAGGCATCGAGCTTGGCATCGGCGAGTCTCTGATCATGAAGGCTGTCTCCGAGAGTACTGGCCGAAACCTACAACAGATCAAGAGCGACCAGAACGAGATTGGTGATCTTGGACTTGTTGCAGCGAAGAGTCGATCCAAACAGCCTACCATGTTCAAGCCCAAGGCTTTGACAATAGAAGGCGTACGCAAGGGCCTCATGGGGATTGCTACTGTTGAAGGACAAGGTGCTCAAGGACGAAAGGTGGACGGTATCAAGAAGCTCTTATCTGCAGCTGATGCGCACAACTCTGGCAAGCACGTTGACATTGAAAAGGACAAGGGTGGACCTAGCGAAGCCAAGTTCATCGTCCGGACACTAGAGGGAAAGCTTCGATTGGGTCTTGCTGAGAAGACTGTGGTGGTCGCTGTCGCGCAAGCTATGATATTCCACGAGATGTCCCAGAAGGGCAAGACGCCATCGACTGAAGACTTGGCAAAGGCCGAGGCTACGCTGAAGACAGTCTACAGTGAGCTTCCCAGCTACGAAGTGATCATACCCGCTATGCTTGAGCACGGTATCATGAACCTACGAGAGAACTGTCGCCTACAGCCTGGTGTACCGCTCAAACCTATGCTTGCCAAACCAACAAAGTCAATCACAGAAGTTTTGGATCGTTTTGAAGGCAAGGACTTCACATGCGAGTACAAATACGACGGCGAGCGTGCCCAAATACACTTTGTCTCTCACGACGCAAAAATGGAGCTGGCGACTGCGGCTCCTACAGCCGGCAAGAGCGACCGCGGTGTTTCAAACATCTTCTCACGAAACTCGGAAGACCTGTCCAAAAAGTACCCTGATATCCTGGCCAAGCTGCCTACCTGGGTCAAGGAAGGCACCCAAAGCTTCGTTCTTGATTGCGAGACGGTTGCTTGGGACATGGTGGAAAAGAAGGTGTTGCCATTCCAGCAGCTCATGACGCGAAAGAGGAAAGATGTCAAGGTCGAGGACGTAAAGGTCAAGGTCTGCGTATTCGCTTTCGATCTTCTCTACTTGAACGGCGAGGTAAGCTTCCTGATTCCTACTTACTGCATTGCCGCTAACAATCGCAGGCTCTCGTGACCAAGTCCTTCCGTGAGCGTCGTCAACATCTCAATGAAGCCTTCATACCTGTTGAAGGAGAGTTTGCACTCGCCAAGTTTGGCAACACCAACGAGTTGGAAGAGATCCAAATTCTTCTCGAAGACTCCGTTAAAGAAGGCTGCGAAGGCCTCATGGTAAAGATGCTGGACGGACCAGAGTCTTACTACGAGCCATCGAAGCGCTCGCAGAACTGGCTCAAGGTCAAGAAAGATTATCTTGCCGGCGTGGGCGACTCTCTGGATCTTGTTGTCCTGGGGGCCTATTACGGCAAGGGTAAGCGCACAAGCTGGTATGGCGCCTTCCTGCTCGCCTGCTACAATCCCTCGACGGAGAAGTACGAGACTGTTTGCAACATCGGTACCGGTTTCTCGGAAGCTATTCTTGAGACTCTCCACAAGACGCTCTCCGAGATTGTTATCGACCGCCCTAAACCCTTCTATACCCATTCTACCGGCAACAAAGACCAGCCCGATGTCTGGTTTGAGCCGCGCTATGTCTGGGAAGTCAAGACGGCCGATTTAACCCTGTCTCCACGATACAGGGCTGCCGCAGATGAGGTGTCTGGTGGCGGCAAAGGCGTCAGTCTGAGATTCCCCCGATTTATCAAGGAGAGAGACGACAAGAAGCCTGACCAAGCAAGCTCAAGTCGCATGATTGCTGAGATGTACCAGAGGCAGGAGAGTGTCAGCAAAAGCAAGGGCCCGAGTGCTGATGATGACTTTGAATATTGAGGTGGTGATGGTTCAGGTCAAGCGGAATGGGGTACAATATTGCAGGAAGATATTTCATGTCCTGTGACGAGGATTCTATAGCATAGTAACGCCGAAACTTCCAGGTCGTTGACTCGCGACCCATGATGAAAACTGACTCGCTCATTCGCAACGACGTACTCGAACAATCGAAAGCTCGTATAGTGGGAATCTTGGCCTGCTCTACACTAATACCATAACATAGATGCCCTAGTAGTACATATCTCCTTCTAGTATTGCTATTCATCAAGGTTTCCAAACCACAAGCATGGCCACAATCGACGATATCCTCGCTTACAAATAATCAGTACCACCCCAACGGTGACAAGGCGGCCAGCTTCGTCAAGCAGCCAAGCCGGCCTCCGTCCAATTCACGGCATTCGCCATCGCAGACATCACGCTACGAAGACAAACACATCGAGAAATCCATGAACCATCGGCCCACAAACAGGCCACAACAGTCCCCACATTCTACTTCTGCAAACTCCACCCTGGCCCTAGCTCCCCTCGCCTTGGGTCTGTGAGAGAAGAGCGGCACGAACCTCCGCGCTCCACTAGGGCGTCGTTCCGGCGCAATCTTAGCTCCTCATTGGCCCAACGTGTCTCCCGATCCGATTGCGGCATCCTCGCGTAGTGTGACTGCGGTCTTGGGAGTAGGATAGTGATCGCGATTTGGGGGCGGTGCTCCGCGGAACAATTCGCCGGTGTGGGATGGCTTCACCTTTTTTCTTTGACGCAATTGGATTGCCTGTTTAAGATGGGTGTGAATCAGCGCAGGGGATTGGTTTGGATTTGGATTCCGTGGGTGTGGCTAATGTGGTGGGCAGAGCATGATGCAGGTGGTGATTGAAAGGGGTGTTGCTGGTACGATTATGCTGGTGAGAGACACTTTGTTGTAGTGGATCTGGAATTGTTGGTGCTTGCAGCTTGGAGTCTTCTTGTCTAGATGATACCGGTTTCAATACATTGTGCATGCATCCTTCTCGTTGTTTGTGTCACTGGCGGCGGGAACAACAACTAGGTAGGTAAATCTCGCGAGCGGTGGATTCGGTCTTGCAGATCAGCAGCTTCCGATCCGAACCAAGCCTGTCATCCGAGAAGGGTGTAGGATTAGTCTAGCAGAAAGCTAGAACGAACTGCGAATATAGGTGTAGTGTCTCAAGTTCCATTGAAAAGTCATGCTATGACTAGGCAGTGCAAGGCAGGAGCAAATGCCTATAACCGGCGCTTATAACCTAGCATCAGCGCCAACACACCCTCGCCAGTACCAGAAGGTCGCAGAGATTACTTACAATCGGCGATATACCACAGCACCATGAGTAGCAGTCACAGTACCTGGTAGTCCAAAAGCCCCACTGCGGCACACGCACCCACATCTACCACCCAATACAACTGACATCGGGCAAATCAACCGCGTCCCATTTCCACGGACCGCACTGCCCACACGCCAAACTACCAGCTAACAGTGCCGAAAACCCCATAACCAGAAACAACCCCCCATCCCAACAATCGCATTTGGGGCGACCAAGAAGTGAAACCCCCATTAGTAAACTTTTCGGGTTTAGTTCATCTGCAACAATGCGTATGCAGGGTCCATGACCCGGTGGCGAAAGCCAACGCTACAGGCCACGCGATCGGCGGATAGCGTGGTTAGCGACGTTCTTACATATCCGTGAGGTATCGCAAGAGCTGTGGCAAGATCGAGGAATTCGAATCGAGAAGACGTTTGGTCCGCAAGCGGGCGGAGCGAGTGGGTAATATTGATGCTTTGCGAGGGTGAGTCGTATTGTTTTCTGATAAACCAAGTCGGCTTTAGTTGTACAAGTACAGTCAATCCAATTTCCGAATGTTCCTTTGAACTGGGTGTGCCTTTCTGTGCACTCTCCGGTTCCCTTTCACTTCTCAATTCTTCGCACCTTTTTTGCCCCCGACTGTTTGCATCCTATCCTCTTCCTTATGCACGCGTAGGAATCTGTCTTGAAGCCTCCCCTTCCTTTGGATTGGCAGATTGCTTGCAGATTTCTGCTAAGCAGAACAAGGAAGCAACCCCCGTTAGGCGCCGTCTCGTGCGTAATGCAACCGCAACAGACCAGTCCAGCTATTTCCGGCGACAGTGCTGCGGCACGCCCTCTACGCCCTCTCCTCCCTGCAGCCTCACCGAGAGTAGAGGCTCCACCATCGCAACCGAAGCGAGCTCGCGTCTCTCTAGCTTGTGCAGCCTGCAGAAGTCGTAAAACCAAGGTACCGACAGACCAAGTACATTGCATGTATATAAAGCAACATCAGCAAAGTAGCCTTCTGATCTTTTGAACCCATAGTGTAACGGCGACCGTCCCATTTGCAGTGAATGCACGTCCCGCGATTCCGTGTGCCAGTACACGGAAACAGAGAACACTCAGTCGAAACGTAAACATCAAGACCTGGAAGAGTTGTTCGAGATGCTCAAGTCGCTGCCGGATGAGGAAGCCAGTGAGATCCTGGCGAGAATCAGAGCTGGTGTGGATCCGAGAGACATTGTTGATAGCGTGAAGCATGGTAATATGCTTGTGCAGTTTGCTGCGACGTTTGGAGAAAGTAGGGGTAGTGTGAGCAGTGAGGTTGATGGAGCTAGTGTGGGCGGAAGTGGAGATTTTTCGGGCGAAATGCAGGAGCCGGGGATGGATGCGGACTCACCATCCAAGCAGAATAGCTGACGAACTGAATCAAAGATACCTGGCATGCGTCGGCATCGACGTGGCGGGTCCATTCCTGGCTGGCCAGGCGTATGTCAGACCTGCGAAATGGCCCTTTTCCAAGTCTATCCCGAGCCTTCGATGCACACCTGATGCATCTATATTCATCGCACGCAGTCGTACAATCATGCGGTGAGATCGTCTTGGTCTGTGTGTCGAAACAGATGGTCCCTGAGTTGTGCCCAAACGTACCTCTGGTATGAATTGCCGGACGTTTGTACGTATGATATCATGTTCTTTCTAAAGAGGTTGATTTCCCATTCATCTTCCGTCCATGTCCAGACGTCATCCTCAAACAATACCTTGAGATCGACCTCTTCGCTATGATACTCGACTTTGACTACGAAACCTTTGGCTCTCAGCCCATGGTAGGTGCGAGCGACAAGTTTCAGGAACAGTGAACCATGATCCCAGCCCGGGCCCAAGTCTTCTTCTTGTCTTATAGCCAAGGTAACAACTCTAGCTCGGGTCTGCATATGGCGACGGTGTTCGTTGTGAGTAGTAACACGTTCAGTGTGTGAAATGTCCAGCAAAGCCGTGACACCATCATTGATCTCTGAAAGATAGTCTTCTCGTGTATACGCCGTTGCATCCGCCGTGCGCGAGCCTTGATCGTGTGTCTTGCTCTCCTGAATCTCGGAGAATTCGCTGTCAGTCAGCGCGTCACACTGGAAGGTCACACGCAGATCCAAATTCCTTGCCAACTCTTCCATGGTAAATCCAACACCAAATGCGTCTCTCCTCACAAAGTCCGCCACGGAAGTGTCGAGCAATAGGCATTCAGCCACGGGATCCTTGTCGTCAATTGGGCGCAGGTCTTTGCCAACGACATCTCGGAATAGCTTGAGAGCCTCTTTAGCGAACACCAGTCCTACGAAAGTCTTGTCGATGAAATGAGGTGGCCGAAGGTTCATGTACAGCATTGATAACCCTGCTGGTGTGTCTGGATCGTGATCTACGCTGAACCAAGGCTCATGGAATAGTTCCCACCAACAGATTACACTGCGAGTCGGATCGTGTTTCTCGTCAGGTTGCCATAACTGCGTGTAGATGTTATCCCGCAGCTCTCGCGGTAAGTTCAAAACACGTGCGACGACGTCCATGTTTGCAGCATTCGTGTAGCGAATAATTGCTGCATGTAAAACATCTGTCAATTGGTCATAGCGACGTAGCCTCTCTTCCACGCCATCCTCCGATGATGCGGTACTCCGGAGGTGAAGTTTACAGTTGAGGCTGGCTCTATGACTGTAATTAACTTTGGAAGCTGACGGCTGTCGCAGCACTTACTGCTTGAGCTCGCGTTCAGCGCAGTCTCGCGCTTGCTCGAATTGCCGATACATTGTTGGCGCGTCTGTATTATAAAGAACCATACCTAGGTAGACCCAGACGTTGGCGAGACGGTTGCGCAGATGATGTAGAGGCAAGGGCAGTCGTTACGAGGCGAGGTACGATTCGTTAGCCACGCCTGCGGGTGACTCATCAAAAGGCGTCCATCCGCAGTAGATATCGACTACAAGGGTACAAGGCTCACTCTTCATTCGTACATGTCCCTGGATGTCGCCTATCACGACCGAAGCTCTGGATAATAGCTGTAGGCCTCGGGTACAGGTGGACGTTGCATCGTCTCGACGCCCCGTGATTCCAGGGCTCATTCCGCGTCTAGGACAGGGGATAGTCCCTTGAGATAATTATTCCCAATATAGTGAAGTTGCTTCCAGTTGTCAATCAGGCGTGGAGGCTACGTGATGTTGCTAGGACTTGAGTGTCCGACCTTCAGTCGCGGTCCTATCGATAAGCAACGTTAATCGCTTCCCACCCAAACACCTAAGCAACGTGCCCTGCAGACGGCTTGGTGATCGCATCCCACGATATCACCACCTGCGCCATGAAGCCTGGCAATCTGCCAATGCGCACACAGTCGCGGCCAGTATGTCAGTTGTGTGACTACATACTGCAGAAGCCTGCAAGCCGCCGCGCATTCCTCTCCGCATCCTCCCTCCGAACACCCTCGATACGGCGGCAAAACGCGCGAACCACGACTCTGACACCCCGTATATTGGTACGAAGCATCGCGACAACACCTCGGACGGCAGCAGCGATTGACACGCGCGACGATGGCGGCCTACATACGTCGGACAGAATTGCGGCGTTGAAGAGTCACCTTGCCCAGGTGGAGGCGCGAATACAGGAAATATTCAATTCACCCAAGGTCGAGAAGGAGCACGTTATAATGGAAGCGTTTGAAGGACT